TGGCCTGTACCCCAGTTCTGTATGAATAAATAAATAAATCTTTAAAAAAAAAAGTGTGAAAGGAACTTAGAGGTTATCCTAGCCTTTGCTATTCCAAGTGTGGCCCCTAGATCAAGAGGAACTTCACTGTTACGGGGTGTGTGTGTTAGAAATGCAGGATCTCAGATCTCGCCTGGACAACCTGAAGCAGAAGTTGTACCTTAACCAGAGCACTGGGTGATTTTTGTGTTCTTAATCTGGCATCTTCCTTCACAATCAAATGTGGCTCAAGAAGGAACCAGCGGAGAGCTGGCAAGGTATTGGGCTTCCTAACATCCAGACAAGTACATTTACAGATTTAATGTAGCATTTTATCATTTTCATCACCATAGGCTTTAAGAGTCAGACAGGATTATATCCTAGCATTAATACTGGTAGAAGCTCAGTAAAAGTGCTAATTATCACTCTGATTGTTACTACTATTTTAAAAGAATGGGAAACACTTATTTTAGGGCAGTTTTAGGTTCATAGCAAAACCTAGCATGGAGTATCTTGACATCTCCACTACCCTGCTCCCCCCAACCCCATCTCCCACCACTATCAATATTTTTTAAAAATGGGACTGTAACAGGGTGGTCCCTAGGAAAAAGGGAAGTTCCAGGTTCCCTGCCCCACCCAGGGGCAGGAGGGTGGAGCTGAGCAGAGAAAAAGAAGAGAGAAGTGAATGAAGCTGGATGGAGAGTCAGAAGGAGACCTGAGGAAGCCACATGGAGCAGCAAGCATGTGATGAAGAAACTGGGCTTGTTTCCTGACGCTGGACTGGTTAAGGCAGATATGGGTGAGATACCTGTAGGGAGGTGACTATGGCAGTGTTTATATTGATTTTGATGTTGCTCTTTTCCTCTCAGATTTGTCTGGCCATTTCTGACCCTTTTCCATGGGTCCCCGCCAGAAGGTGCTTTAGTCTTGTGGCGGCTTTCAGGCCTTGCTTTGGGCCAGTCCCTTTTGGGTTGACTTTTGCCCACGAGGGGATGGGTAATGTCAGGTGTTTGATTTAGAAGTTATATTCTTTGTGTTCCGTATTGTATATTCACTGTATTAAAGTCCCTTTTCATTAAAGTTTTATATGTTTTGTCCTGCTGTGGTGGATGGCAGAACCCACTTAGAGCAGGCAGGATTTTGGGGCTACAGGGGTGTCCCTCTCCCCCTGTCCTGGAACAGATTTGGGGTGCCCTATAACAGGACTACTAGCATTTCATATTGCAACTGATTAAAACATCAAAGCAGCGTTTCAAGAGCTTATAGAGAATTTATAAAAATTGTTTTATGTCTGACTTAGTATGATTCCCTATGACATTTCCAAAGCCGTTTTTGCTTTTGAAGTCGAGGAGGGGTTTTATCAAACTATTTTACAAATGGAGGGACTAAAGCCTCGGGAGGTTAAGATCCTGGCAGACTCCGTTGTCTCCCCCCACTGGATCTTAAGCACATCGGAGCCGTTACTTCTGAGGCACTAGGAATTAAGAGAACGGAGGCTTTTTATCACACGAGTAAAACTGCGTCCAGAATTCCAGACCGAGCAGGGAGCCGGGCCTTTGTTACAGGACTGACGACTGCAGGGAGTCTCTAGAACTTGGGTTTTGCGCCTTAAGGGCACGGATTTGTTAGCTCTGTCAGGGAAAAGAGGTGACGTTATTTTGTAGCGCGGAACTTTGGCGCGAAGAAAAAGCGAGGAGGGAAGAGACACCTCAGAGGACTCTGGGAGCCGTGAGGAGAACGTGTATTTATTGCTAAACTTATGCGCTGGGGATTTTAAACTCTTATTTTCCAGGCTTTTTATTTTGCACTTGAGTTTTTGTTTCTTTATTCCCTTGTAAAGACGAGGGTATTTGATGTAAAAAAAAAAACTTCTTAAATGCACTTCCGGAGGGGTGGCTTTCTGGTAGCCGGAAGTGGCGGTGACATTCCCGGTCCCCACCATCCCGCGGCGTTTTGTGGGAGTTGTAGTCCAGGGGTGGGAGTCGAGAGTGGGCGGTTTTCCTGATCCTCCTGTGTCTGAGGTAGAACACCTGAGACGTCAGGTCTTGAGGCACAAAAAGCTTTAACTGTTATAAAATTCTACAATGTACTTTGCTGCATATTTTAAAGGTTTTCTTCAGTGAGCATATTTAAGTAAAATTATATTTGCTCTTTTATGCTCTAATGAGCATAAAGAAAATAACTGACGGGACGACTATTTTATACAAACAATACAGAAAGGTATAAACCGAAGCCAAAAGTCTCCCTTCTGTACCTCCCCGGTTCCCGCCTCTGGAAAGAAAACTCGCGACGTCATTTTAGAGGAAAAACTGAGTGGAAATGTACGTGTTATTAAAAAGTACACAAATAATATGTATACTACATTACTCTTCTCAACCTCCCTTTTTCATTTGATAATTCATCCTAGGGAGTTTTCCATACTTGCACTTTATTTTTTAAATGGCTACAAAATAGTTATATCCCACAAATATTATATTTATTCCCTACTTTACCCCATCAAGGGACATTTTGGTTGTTTGTAATTCTTGTTGTTGTAGTGATCGTCTTGAACATATTTTGGTGTAAACTAAATTCGTGTAGACAGAATAATACAGTTTATGAGGCATGTTTTATAAAAGTTGGTAAACACCACCAAATTTACAAATTGTACAATTTATACACATTCAACAATGTGTGAAAAAAAAAATCCTTCCATGAGTTGTTTCAGCAATTTCGAAGGTTAGCTTTGGGAAAACAAACAGTAAGAGGCACTCCCAATTTTTCTCACATCTTCTGCTTATCTTGCATTATTACCTTTGTCTGAATAGGCCCTGCAAATGTCATTAGTATTCATTAAAATATTTTTCTAATCAAGACACTTCTTAAAAAGAAAAACACTTAAACAAGTGTTTTAAAACCTACAAATGATTAGAGTAGAATCTCCAGATTGAGAAAATATTATATATATTCAAATATAAGGCAAATTTTTTTCCAAAACCACCCTTTTGGAAAAAGGGTAGATGACCTCTAACTTGACCAAGCTTTTCATACATTAGGAGAAAAGCACTAATTACTAAGTTCATAGTTTTCCTAAAGATATAATTTTAAATATGTAGGTCTAGCTAAATCTAAGAGATAAGTAATATCACTTGATCATTTTATATATAATGAAATTTGAGTATTATTTGTGGACAGTTGACTATTTTACATATAATATATTGCACAGTGTATTCATATGTCATGTACACATATATGACCCTAAATCTTTATTCTTTTGTCTCATTGGTGAAATTAAGAGTTGAGGTGGCTATTCATGTTTATCTAATATATTCTTACCTTTTTGCAATTGTTTGGATAAGGCTTTAGTGGAGATATAACAGCACAATTCTTTATACTTAAAGAAGTTCTGAAGTATAAAAATCTAGAAAAACATAAGAAGAGAAATAGCTTACTTCTTTCATACTGTTTCTCTTTGGGCAGAGGAGGAGTAAGGCAAAACTTCCACTTTTTACTTATTAACCTTAGAACACTATCTTCTTTAAACCCCCCAAATTTATACTATATCTTCTTAAGAAATCCCAAATTTATTTATATATAAGTAAAAATTAATTTAAAAATAGGAATGTCAAGTTTGTATTAGTTTTGAAAATAAGAACATGACTGGTTGGGTACTTCCTTTCAAGGTGTGCTTTTACTCTTACAAAGTTCTACTGCTGCAAGTATTTTTCGTCAAGGACGTGATCAAACTGAAACTTTGGGTGGCACAAGAGTTAAATGTCAGCACTATGAAGGCATCAGTAGCCACTGTGCAAGAGCTCCATCCCTGGCCAGGGAGCTGACCCACATGGCACAGCAGACTTCTCCTGTCTCACTGCTCCCCTCAGCAGTGTATTTCAGTAGATCTGCCTGTTCTGCTCCCCACTCTGTCTCTGGTACATCCTCCCACTCCTAGCACCTCTGGCTTACACCCATGTTCTATTTATTTATAAAATAAATAAAATCTAAAAACAAAACAAAACAAAAAATTTTGATCTATTGAACTCCCTTAACCCTTACCCAACCCTTGGTAACCTCTATTTTTTTTTTCTTTTCCGTTTCTACAAATTTGACTTTTAGTGGAATCATATAGTTTTTTTTTTTTAAAAAAGATTTATTTATTTATTCATACAGAACTGGGGTACAGGCCAGAGATGTGGAGGGTGAGAGGATTCACCAGAGACAGAGTGGGGAGCAGAACAGGCAGATTGACAAAGTACACTGCTGAGGGGAGCAGCGGGCGCGTGAGGAGAGGTCTGCCACGCCATGTGGTCACCTCTGGGGCAGGCCGGAATCGAACTCATGCGGAAGTGGCTTAAGCTTCTTAGTGCTGTGCTTTAACCCTCTGCGCCACCAGGGAGGGCCAGTATTTTTTTTTTTTTTTTGTGATTAGCTTATTTCACTTAGTGTCTTCCTTCCCTTTAAGACAGTAATCCATCATATGTACATGCCTCATTTTGTTATTCATTCACCTGTCAGTGAACATGTGGGTTGCGTCCACTTTTTGGCTATTGTGAATAATGCTGCAGTGAATACTTGTTTTGGGCATATAACCAGAAGTAACTTTGCTGAGCCACATGGTAATTCTATGTCAATTTTTTTAGAAATGACCCCGCTATTTGCACCATACCAGTCAAGTCATTATTTTAAGGCCATTTATCAGATATACCTGGTTAAGACTTTGTGGTAATCAAAGAAAAATTTCCAAAAAAATTAAGTTTATTTAATTTTCAAATTTCATATAGACTTTATAGCAAGAGTGTATATATCATGAAGGATTAGTAAAATGTGGCTCCTTAGAGCTTTATTTCTCTTCAGAAAAAGTTTTAAAAAGATGTATACAAGTGGACTTGAAAACTTTTTTTCCCCAAGTTTATAATTTATAGGAACATTTAAACAGTTAAGGCTAAAGAGCTAATGTTAAAATGAGGTATCTCTGATCTCTCATCTTCTTCTCTAAATCCTAGATATGGCCTCTACTTCCCAGGGCCACTAGGAGCAGAAATATGAACTTTCTGGACTTACCTAGATTAGACACACTCCTGAGTCTGCAGAGTGCCAGGGTAGGTGACAGTAATCTGACAGTAGTTATTGCAAAGTGCTTCTTCTCCGTGTCCTATTTTATTTCCTTCATAGCACAAATCATTATTTTAAATGACTTTATGGGATGTTTCTTGTCTGTCTTCCTCCATTCAGAATGTAAGCTCTGTAAGAAGTGAGATTGTTTAGCATACCTTTTCCTACAATCTGCTGGGCACAAAATAGGTTTTCAGTATTATTTGTCAAGTGAATAAATTATCACTTATGATATGATATGAAATGAATGAAAAGTTGCTATCTGTTTCCTTTTAAAAATGGAAATAACACTGTATGATAACATTATATAAGTTTCAGGTGTGCATGCTTAAAAATATATACGTGTATAGATAGCACATTAAACTCACCCGTAAAAGTCCAATTCTCACAAAACGATGTAAAAATAAACTATTATAAAAAAAAAAGTCCCATTCGGTCCTTCAGTTGACCCTTTTTACCCAGTTTACCTTCCCTCCCTTTTTTCCTGGTATCACTAATTGATCATATAATCTAAAAAGTTAATTTTTGTTTTATTTTGCATCTGTTTAGTTGTTCTACATGAATCTCTATAAATGAAATTATTAGGTGCTTGTTTTTCTCCATCTGACTTATTTCATAGTCTTAAAACTGTTTCAAAAGTTATGAAAATTTTTCAACACAGAAAAATTCCTGCTAGTCATATTGAACAAAGCCTAAGATTTTACTATTTTGCTTCAAATTTTCTTCATCTCTTAAATAAAAAGAAAAAAAATAAGTAGGAGATGGAGAGATGGCTAATTGGGACTAAAACAATCTGTGTTAACTCATAAGATTTATGGTTCATAGGCTTCACTTACCAGAGTCAAACTACAGATCCCAGACAGCACTGCAACAGTCAGGCAGGTGGTGTAGTCTTTCTCTTTTGTAAACAACCAATGAAACATAGCACTTACAAAGGTCTGGGATGACATATGCTGTGTAGACTGTGCCCAGCCAATCTTGTTACTGCTGTTTGGAATGTGCTGCTGTAAACCAGATTTAAAAGGGCTTTTCCTGTTAATTTGAAACGCATTGTGCCTCTTGTTTCAGGAGAAAGAAAAGCTGATCTAATAATCTCAATGGATGCAATACTGAATTACAGGTCAGAAGATACTGAAGATTACTACACCTTACTGGGATGCGATGAATTGTCTTCGGTAAGACAGTGGATAAACTGTTCTTTTTCACAACAGTGTTTACACATTTTATTTAAGGTTTTAAATTTGAAGTTTTAGTCTCACTGACTGAAGATTAATCTTGTATGTTTAAAAAATAGTTTCGGTTCAGAGAAAATTGAGAATAAATATGTGTATGTGTTTATTTAAATAGTGTTTGAATAAAATTTTATGCAAGTTTCTGACTGAAATGTGTGTGTTCTGGCACAAGGGCCTATACTGTATTTCACAATATACTTAAAATACATTTTTGAAATTTTATTTTAACTGCTATTGGCACCGTTTCATATTATACAAATATTATGCTATAACTAAGATGAAATGTAATTTCCTAGCAATTAGTTGCTTTGGAATATTTTATTAAAATATGTATTTTTATATGAACAGTTGATTATATGAATAAGAAATAATTCTTTTTTGTTAATATGTCAAATGGTTTTTACTTCCTAAAAGAAAAATCACTTCTTAAAAGGGTGGCTTTTAAAACAAAACATGTGGAACTCTAGCTGTTCACTTGATCTATAATAGAATAATGTTTTGAAAGTTCTCCATTGCCAAATATATAGGTTGTATATATTTTTTTAATTATGGAAAACTCATTTATAATTCTGCTTCCCAAAGTAAATGTTAATGTGTGGTATATTAACTTCCAGTCTTCTTCCTGTATATATTTTTTGAAGACGTGTTTGGGATAATATTATATATACTTGCTGATTCTTACTTTTATCCACTAACATTATTATAACAAGGATTTCTTCATCCTGTTAAACACTCTTTATATACAATTTAATTAATTCATACACATTTTTATGATTGCATAATATTTGAATCAGTTGATCACTCTCTTGTTGTTAAATCTCTTTATTTCCAGTTTTTCCATATTTTAAATTTTGCTGAGATAAATACAAAATATACATGATTATATTATTCAAATATTAAAAGTATGTGTAGCTAGTATCTTTAACACATTAAAAACACATAATGCAAAATACATTTCTATTTATCTTTGTTTCATAAGACTGACATTTAGTAACAAAATGTACTTTTATTTTGAGAATAGGATGCAGTACGGAACACAAAAGGTTAAAATCTCTTTTTATATTCAGAGAGAAATTTATATTTGATACTCTGAAGTAAAACACACACAAAACAGGTTATAATGATGTTTTAGTTGCATATTTTCCCTTTAGAATAATATGTTGCTCTTGTTTATTTTAGTGGTGATTTGCTTAATTGAGAAAATTTCTTTTCTTTTTTTTTTTGTTATATATGCTATTCATACGTTAGACTGCTGCCAAATAATTTTTGAAGAACTCTTTAAAGTCAAATGAACATAATTTAAAGTAGTAAGTTTCAGTTAGGATTTTAAAAAATCTTTATCATGCTAAGTGACAAAAGTCATTGTGATTGCATTATATTCCCATTCTTGACGATTTGTCAGTCTTTTATAGATATGCTGTTGTCTACAAGAAGGAGCTTTAGTTTTGACCAAACCTAATAAAATGATTCAATTGCTTATATACAATGTTTATAGCAGCTCATTTATTACAGTTTTAGTTTTGTTTGTGGTTACCAATAGTAGTCATATTTCTCTAGGTATACTGTAACATATTCAAGGGACAATGAAAGTGTTGTCTTGACAACTTAATATTGTGATTCTACTGATAAACCAAACTGAGACACACACGTACTTAGTGCTTTTGCTTTAGTATACATTTCTGTAATTGAAATCTTTTCTTGGAAATAAATTCAAAGAAAATTGTATTGTATATTTACTAGGGGTTTTAGGAAAATAATTCTAAGTTTTTCCTTCTCAGACTTTTTTTGAATTCATTCTCCACAAACTGAAGGTACAGTTGTGATTATAAGCAGTGAGACTTATTTCCTACTTTATATATGTGGCATGTAGCCCATAGGAAAATCTACATGCTGTTTAGTAGAAAACACATGTTCCATTTCACAAACACCAAAAGTTTGATTTCAAATCCTTCAGTCTTTTTTCTCCATGTTGGATTTTCCACGAAGACACATACTGTAAGCCCTCTGAAGTCCTTATTGATGGATACGCCAGCATGTAAACACATCATCTCTGGTGTGGGTTTTATTTGATATTTTAACACTTGGTTATGATGTCTTAATGATAAGACTTTCTAGGTTTAAGATTTCATGCAAAATTTACATAAACACTTGATCAATGGAAGCAATTATATTTCCTCCTTCCCTATTTTTGTTCTCTGTTTCCTTTATTTTTTAGACAGTAGAATCTAGTTTTTTTTTTTTTCTGTTTTATGTTTTCAAAGGACAGGTTTATTTGGGAAAAGAGAAGGAAAAAGAGTGGCACCTGAATAGTCACAGGTGGGCAAGAGAGCTGCCTCTGGCTCTTTCTTAATGACTTCAGATCATTGGTTTTAAATCTTGACTGCTATTTATTAGCTGTTATCTTAGCAAAATTATTTAACTGTCTGTGTCTTGGTTTCCTAGCTGCAAATGGGAGTGATGATAACACCCACATTATAGAATTGTTGTGGGGATTAGATGAGACATGATATATAAAGAGTCTAGAGCAGTGTCTGATACATAGTAGGTGTTGTGGCCTTTTAGTAATATTGGGCACTTGGAATTTTGTTATCTTACCTTATCCTGTTGTTGACATTATTTTTAAATATTTTATTTTGAAATTATTTTTAAGAGACTCTTAGTTATAGATTTATAGCAAAATTGAGTGGGCGATACAGATTTCCCACTCATGCGTTGCTTTCCCCCTTGTCAACATTCTTAGCAAGAGTGGTCCAGTTGTTAAAACTATTGTACCTGCATTGACTCATCATAATCACCCCAAAGTCCACAGTTTACCTTGTGGTTCACACTTAGATTTATACAGTATACATTTTATGGGTTTGGACAAATGTGTATGTCAAGTACCCACTATTACAGTATCATACAAAGTAGTTCCATTGTCCTAAAAATTCTCTGTGCTTCACTTACTGGAATAACTTTTGACTCTCAAAACAGTTGCAATAATACAGAGTTCCTGTATACACTTTATACAGCTTCTTTTAGTATTAACATCGTATGTAATGGTGGTACAATGATCAAAACCAGAAAACTGATATGGTATAATAGTATTAACTAAACAGGGGCCAGCAAACTATTTTTTGGTAACAGACCAGACAGACATGATCAGGCAAGGGTAAGACAAGCAGTGTGGGCTTAGGACTCAAAATTTAAGGGGGTGCTAAGTCTTAGGATTGCCAAAGTGCAGAATCCTGAGGGGTGGAGGACAAAGGATCCATAAACTTAGGTAACCTGTTTGCCCAACTCTGGTGCTAGCCCTGAGATAAGAAATAGTTTATAGCTTGCAGGATTTATGGTCTCTGTCACTACAGTTTAGTTCTGCCATTGTGAGAAAGCTAGATAATATGTAAATGATGACCAGGGCAAATCTTCATCTAAAGAACAGGCAGTGGGGGCCTCTCTGGTGGTGCAACAGGTTAAACACAGCACTATGAACTAGCCACAGATGAGTTCGACCCAGGCCAGGTTGCTGACCCACATGGTGTGGCAGACCTCTCCTGACCCACCCATTGCTCCCCTCAGCAGTGTACTTCATTGATCTGCCTATTCTGCTTCCTACTCTCTCTCTGGTGAATCCTCTCACCGCCCCTGCATCTCTGGCCTATACCCCAGGGTGCTTGTATGTATAAATACATATATCTTTGGAAAAAAAAATAGGGACCAGATTAGGCTGTGGGACAAAATTAGTCAACCTGTGATCTAAAGTATAGGCCTTATTCATATTTCATCATTTTTTAACTGATGTCCCTTTTCTCTTCCATAATCTAAGCTGGAATACTTCATTACACTTAGTTGCTATATTCCCTTTGTTGTCTCCAAACTGACAGCTTCTCAGAACTTCCTTGTCTGTCATACCCTTCAATCTTCAGCATTACTTTATGGATTTTTAAGCATATGCACTAATAATTCATTCTTTTAGGCAATCAAACCTTAACCTAGCCCCAATGATTTGGGCATAATTACCAACTCCATTATTGTAATGATGAAGAGTGACATCCTTCAGATACTTGATGGCTTTTAGGGTATGCATACTCTTGATGCCAGTCATGATATCTGAAGAACATGATATCTGTTAGTCTATGCTCAAATATTTACTCAACATGTGGCATTGGGGCAGGACTAGAAGTGATGGAAGAAAACAGAATGGTGAGATATAGTGTTAGTATATAAGGAATGTGTTACCTAGTCAAGAAACCAAAGCTAACGCAGAGGAGACAGAATAAATTGTGTGGTACTGCATATGACTACAATAGGAATTAAAGAATATCTCTAAAGACTATAGAGAAGAGATGGGACTTGAGATGGTCTTGCTTGATGGTCATAATTTAGATTCATGGAGGGAGAGAAATAGGACATTTTTGTGGCCTGAAAACACTAAAGAAGATTTATCCAACTTGGAATCAGATCAATTCCTATTGTGTTTGAGAGTATTTCTTGGCAGAGATCAAGTTATTGTGCTGATAGGATTTTTAAAATTTAATTTCTAAAATTCAGATCTGTTTAAGAAGGAAATGTGAAGTATAGAGAAACCACAGAAAATGTTAACCCTAAGAGTGTTTAGTATTTAGGCATATGGCATGTGCATGTCTGTTATCTGTGCATATTTTTGTGTTATTGCATTATGTAAATAACTGCACACATGGGTGTATATATTTATATGTGTATTTTTTTATGTGTTTGGAGTCAGAACGCCTGGGTTCAAATCCTGCTCCTGCGGCTGAACAATTGTGTGCCCTTGGGAAAGTTCATCTTAATTTTCTGATTTGGTTTCCTAATATACAAAATGGGAATAATAATGGTACCTACTTCATAGAGTTATGGAAGTTAAATGAAACACTATTATATAAAGTGCTTAGAATAGTGTCTGGCACATAATAAGTCTCAATAAATCTTAACATATGCATATGTATATACACACATTTTCACACATACATAAATATAAAATATGTTACATAATACTTTTTGAGGTATAACATTATGGATTTTTGCTGCACATAATGCTTTATTTTTTCATACTTTTATCTTTTCTCATAGCAATACATATTAAAAGTCTTCTACAAATTTATCTTTTTATGAGTATAAAGTATGCTAACCTATAGTTATATTGTAGTTAGCTTTAACAAGTATTCTATTAAAAATACCTTATTACCGGACATAATAACATTTTTGTTAAATTTATAGCATTTTATTCATTCATTCATTCATTTTATAACTGAATATTTTTCCCACCTCTGATGGAAATAATTCCTAGAATTAGAATTTTTGGATCAAAGAGTATGAGAAATTAAACATTTGGCTTTCATGTATGTATATATGTACTTAAATATATATAATCTCCAAATGACTTTTCAGAAAATTTGCACCTATTTACATTCTCACTAGCAGAGCATGAGAAAGCCTATTTTTTGTATCCTCAATTATACTGGTCATTACCATTCCTTGGAGTTTTTGATTTATTTGATTATGACTAAAGTTGAACATTTTCTTACTGTGTATTAGCTAACTGGATAGGTAGTTTTCCAGGCCACTGGGCATTGGCTCAGGGAGGCAGAATTCAGTGGACCTTGACATGGAGGGCCTTAGTTGCCCGTGGGCTGCGCTGGGCACTGGGCACATGGGAGGGAGATGCCAGGAGAGAAATAGAGCGTGCCCAAGATGAACCAATAAGCTTTACCATCTTATTTAGAGCCAGTCCTATTTAGGAGATTCATGGTAAACTTTGAACAGTAAAACTTTAAGAAATAATGAGAGACAGATAGGATTTTTTTTAACAATAGTTTATTTTTACATAATGTTCTGCCTTTTTCCATCTCAGTTGTAATCCCTGTGGGCATTACATCACCAAATCACCCGAGTGCCATCACCATAGTCCCATGCACTTCTCCCCCTCCCCAGTTTTGATTCCATTTCCCACTCCATCCCTGTAAAATATCTCTGGTATATAGTTGTTCTTGATTATTATTATTTCTCCCTGCTATGAATTTCCTTCTATGTGTGAAATCATCCAGTATTTTTCTTTTTCTTTCTGGCTTATTTCACTAAGCATGATCCTATCCAGTTCCATCCATGTTGCTGCAAAAGGCATAAGTTTATCTTTTTGATTGCTGAGTAATATTCCACCACATATATGTACCACATCTTTTTAATCCAGTCATCAACTTTTGGGCATTTGGGTTGATTCTATGTCTTTACTATTGTGAATAAAGAAGTAATAAACATGGGGGTGCAGGTGTCTTTTTGAATCAATGTTTTTATGTCTTTTGGGTAGGTACCTAGGAGTGGGATTGCTGGGTCATATGGAAGCTCCATTTTTAACAGTTTGAGGGACCTCCAAACAGTTTTCCATAGTGGTTGTACTAGTTTGCATTCCCATCAGAAGTGCAGGAGAGTTCCTTTTTAGGGGTTATTCTTAATCTTAAAAATATAATATTGGCAAAATGCAGAAAATACAAAGAAGAAACTAATATTCACAGAGTATTTAATCATTTTGACACATTTGTTCTATGAACTAATACCACATTTTGGAATGTTGCCTAGTTGAGTAGAAGTTAAAAATTAAAGCAGCAATAGATAAAAACTCCTACCTGTAATCACTAGCATGATCTGATTATCAAAACTTCTAGATATATACATAGTTATGTATATAACTGTGTAAAATGTATCTTAAGGGATAACACCTGTTATCTTGGTGGAAAAGGGTTGAAGGAGTTTTACTTTTTATTCTGGATTCATGTAAATTTTTCATAGTTTGAGTATTCATGCATTGCTTGTTAATTTAAAAATACTATTGTTTAGAATCTTTAGAATATTTAATATTTGAAAATTTTAAATAAATCTCATTCTTAATTTTCTTTGTTATATAAACAGGTTATACTTAATTTTCTTTGTTATATAAACAGGTTATATAATGTGATAGTTAAAGGGGCACCCAAGAAGAGAAAATCGAAGTACTGTTGTAGCAAGAAGTATCATCTCTTCCTGTTAGTCCATGGGGTTCTCAGTAGTTGTTTAACAAGGAAAAGAATAGAATGATCAGTCTCAACTCTATGCATATGGATATATAATACAGCCTGTCTTGTAAATTCAGAATCTACAATCTGTCTGTAAATGTGAAGAATTTTTTATGGTTAAAGATGACAAAACTGATAAAAATGTTTCTCCAATGATCTTATAACAATATTGAGCTGAACAACTTGAGAATTCATTTCCCATACAAGATGTGTAGTTTGCTTTCATTAGTTAGTGGGTAGTAAATATGAAATTTGATAGTAGGTTTTTTAAACCTAAAGAATTTGGTCAGATAAAACAGTGATTAAGATTATTGGATTTGAGGCTTCCTAGCTGACCTATGGTTAAGTCTCAGTGCTATCACCACTATGGCTTGAGTTTGATCCCTGGCCAGGGAACGGACCCAAATGGCACAGCAGACCTCTCCTGTCTCACTCACTGTGCCCCTCAGCAGTGTATTTCAGTAAATTTGCCTGTTCTGCTCCCCACTCTGTCTCTGATGAATCCTTTCATTCCTCACTCTGGCCTTCTACACAAAAGTTAAAAAATGTTGAATTTCAAGTCCAGCTGCTTAGTTAACAAAAAACTTAGCTTCTTAATAGCTAGTTACCACTAATATTTAATAATATCCATTACTATTGTGTTCTTACTATGAGCAGGCTTTATGTTGTGTTGTCCTTATTAATGCAATGCAAAGATGAGGATGCCTAGCTAGGTGGAATTATATAACTTGCCTAAAATCTGAGCAGTGGGCAGGGCGGGAGAGGTCTGCCGTGCCATGTGGGTCAGCTGGTGGGGGATCGAACTCATGGCCCCCTTACCATGATCCATGGCAGGGGATTGAACCTGTGGTAAGGTGGCTGTGGCTAACTTTGTGGTGCTGCACTTTAATCTGTTGTGCCACCAGGGAGGGCCCTGAAGGAAGGAATTTTATAATGGATAGTTTATAAGCTGGATAGTCACTCCTGAATAATGAATGATGGCTAAATCTCTTTTCAACAACTTGGATATGTGAGCACATCTTTCATTATTTTCTTAGGATAAACCTATCTGATCTTTTGTGATATTTAAATATATTGAGCTCATAGGTATCCTGAGTTATCATCTAAACATACTAGTAAGTTAAATTGTCATCACAATTATTTAAATAGCTTTTATTAGATGCTTTCTGAATCTTGTAATTGAGAAAATAATTTCTTGGAGTAGAAAGTCAAGGTGCAAATATAAAAACCTACATATAAATTTTGGTTGGTCAGAGCTATTTTGGGAAGGACTGATACCTAGTATCTTCCTTCATGATGTTTAAGTTCAGCTCCTTATTTTAAACATTAATTTGTGTTCTAGGTTGAACAAATCCTGGCAGAATTTAAGGTCAGAGCTCTGGAATGTCACCCTGACAAGCATCCTGAAAACTCCAAAGCAGGTAATGTCTGTTTTTCATGAAAATGAATAACATGTAGAATTAAAAAATAATTGAACAGTAACTTGATTCCTCCCTCCCTTCCTGCTTTCTTTTTTTACTTTCTCTCTTTTATTTAATTGTGGTAACATTGGTTTAGAGACATGCATGTGCTTTGGAGCCATAGGATCATACCTCTTCAAATATGTGTCACCATATCACAGCTACCACCAAGGCACCCACCATCCTCTGCCATCGTCCAGTATGCTACCTTTATTTTCCATCCTCCCTCCCCCTACTTGTAACCTTAATTCCACAACAGATTGCTAGTATTTGTTATTGGGTTGTTTTGTCTGATCCTTTGTTTTGTTTCTCTGTATTTCACATATAAGTAAAACTATCCAGTATATGTCTTTCTCCTTCTGACTTACAATGCTTAACATTACCTCCTCCAATTCCATTTATATTGCAGCAAATGTTGAGTCCATCTTTCTTTTTTAATAGCTGAGTAATATTCTGCTTTGTATATATACCACATTTTTCTGATCTACTCCTCTGTCCTTTGGTATTTAAGTTTGTTTCCATAACTTGGCTGTCAAAAGCAGTACTGCAGTTATCAAATTACTTCAAATTAGTGTTTTTGCATTCTTTAGGTAAATATCTAGGAGTGGAATTGCTGCATCATATGGTAGATGTACTATCAATATTTTGAAAAACCTCCACACTTGTCCATAGGGGCAGGGCCAGTCTACATCCTCACCAACAGTGTGTAAGGGTCCATTTTCTCCACATTTTTGCCAATACTTCTTGTTGTTTCTGATCTTGTTGATGTGCGCCATTCTCACAGTTGTGAGATGGCATCTCATTGTGGTTTTCATATGCATTCCTCTAATGGAATGTAATAATGAGCACTTTTTTCATATGCCTGTAGATCATCTCTGTATCTTCCGCCCATTTTTTTCATTCTTTGTGTATGTGTGTTTATATGTGAGTTTATATATCTTGGGTATCATCCCTATATCAGATTTTTTCTCATTTGGTAGGATGTCTTTTTGTTTGAATAATAGTTGTTTTTATTTGCTTTTCAGAAGCTTTTTAGTTTGATTATATTCCGGTTTGTTTATATTCATTTTTGTTTATCTTGCCATCACAATGAATCTACAAAAAGATCACCGAAGCTAATGTTATGGAGTGATTTGCCTATCTTTTCTTGAATGTATTTTATGGTTTTGGGTTTACATCCTTGTTTGATTCCATTTTTAGTTAATTTTTGTGATAGGTATGAAGTGGTGATCTAGTTTCATTCTTTTGCATCTGTCTGATTTTCCCCAATACCATTTGTTGAAGAGATTCTTTTTTCCTTAGTGTAAACACTTGGCTCGTTTGTTATAATTAACTGTCCTTACATGTGTGGGTTTAGTTCTGGGCACCATTGGTCCATGTGTGTCAGTTTTTGCAGTATGATAGGTTTTGATTACTTCACCTCTATAGTATATTTTGAAGCCCAGGAGTGTGATACCATCACTCTTCCTCTTTTAAATCAGGATTGTTTTGGCTATTTAGTGTCTTTTTTGGTTCCCTGTGAATTTCAGTAATAAAATGCTTTCTTTTTGTGGTTGATTTCTACTTTGATACCATTGTAATTAGAGAATATGCTTGAAATGAATACAAACTTGCGATGAAAGAAGTAAAATGAATTTATTGACCTTTGCTTTGTGGCCCCACGTTTGACCTATCCTGGAGAATGTTCTGTGTGCTCTTGAGCAGAATGTATATTCAGCTTTATGGAGGTGCAGTATCTTATAAATGGCTGTGAGCCCATGTGATCTAATTCCTCATTTAAGGTTCTTATTTCCTTGTTGATTTTCTGTATGATTGGATCTATCCACTGGTGAAAGTAGGATATTGAAGTTTCTTACTACTATTGTGTTGCTGACAATATATGATTTTAAACTTGATAATAGTTGTCTTATATGGTCTGATGCTTATTTATTTAGTGCATATATATTGGTAACTGTTATGTCTTCTTGATGTATTGATCCCTTAATCATTTTGTAGTGTCTATTTCTGTCTCTTGTTGACTTTTTAGCTGGAAATATGTTTTTAATTGATGTAAGTGTAGATGTTACTGGATTCTCTGGGGTGCCATTTGCTTGTAGAATTGTTCTCTAGTCTTTTACTGTGAGTCTGTGTTTACCCTTAGACCTTAGATGGGCCTCTTGGAGGCAGCAGAAATTTGTTTTTTTCTGATCCTTTTGGCCACTCTGCTGTTGATTGATGAATACAGTCCATCTACACTTAGGGTGATTATTCTATGTTACTGCTATTTTTCCTTTAGTTTTCTGATGCTAGCTAGTTCCTTATTCAGTTTTTGTGGATTTTCTTCCCTTTGATTTAGATAAACAGCACCTTTCAACATTTCTTGTATGGGAGGTTGAGTGTGGGCAAACTCAGTTTCTGTTTGTCTGGAAAGGCCTTTATTTTCTCCTCATATGGAAGAGTCTTAACAGGATAGAGTATTCTTGGATGGCATTTTATTGTTAAGTATTTTGGATGCATTGTTCCATTCTTTCCTTGCCTGTAGGGCTTCTTGTGAGAAGTCTGATGTTAACCTGATCAGATTTCCTTTATAGGTTACCTGCTTTTCCCTAGCTACTTTCGTCCCTGCCATGGTGTATTAAATTCCCTGGAATCTCAAGATACTGTGCACTGTGGGTTTTTTGCCTTTCCTTTTACTGTTGTAGAATTCTCCCCAGGAGCTCTGCACTCTACAGTAGAGTTTTAGGGGAAGTTTGAGAGAATAGTGGGGGAAAGAGGAAGGTACCATCCCTAACTCTTCACACTGGCCACCAGCTATCCTATCTTCTTTTGTTCACAGGCCTTGTTTACCTTGGTTATTCTCAGTTTCTTTCTTTATTTTAAATTTTTAAAAAAGGGTTTATTTATTTATGCATACAAGAGCTGGGGGATAGGCCAGAGGTGTGTGTGTGGGGGGGGGGAGGAGAGAGAGAGAGAGAGAGAGAGAGAGGGAGGGAGAGAGAGAGGGAGAGGGAGAGAGAGGGAGAGGGAGAGGGGGAGAGAGAGAGAGAGAGACAGAGACAGAGACAGAGACAGTAAGGAACAGAACAGGCAAGTTGATGAAGTACACTGCTGAGGAAAGCAGCAGGCAGATCAGGAGAGGTCTCCTGTGCCATGTGGGTCACCACCCTCGAAGGGATAGAACTCATGCTGTGGTGGCTTCAGAAAGCTTCATAGTGTGGTGCTTTAACCTGTTGTGCCACCAGGGGGTGGTCATATTCTCAGTTTCTTTCTACATGCTTTGGTATATGTATGGGGGGTATATGTATAATTTGATTTTTCATAAGGAAAATATAATTAAATCTTATCTGTAACTCCATATTCTACAATGATATCCCCAAAGTCCTCTTCATTATTTTTTTTTCCTATTTTAAATCTTTTTATTAATTTTCTCTGGAAATGATTGGTCCCTTTGACTTAATATAAATAGATCATTTTCTAATCTATGAAACCATCTTTTGTTAGATCCTTAGCTATTACTTTTACCCATTTGATTCTTCGCTTTTAAGGCATAATTTGTTGAAGGAAGTAGAGAAAATCGTAAATATAAACTTGGTAATTTTTGCCTCTATATAAACCACTTTAACCACTGTCCAGAGGAAGTTATATAATATTTCCCTTGTCAGTCCCTGTTCATGTCCTGTTCAAAATCAGCACCATTTCCCAGTCCTTGATCACTGTCACCATTTATTTGTCTTGCTGAGTTTTGAATTTCGTATGGATGAAATCATGTGGTATATGGGTACTCTTTCATACACGACATCTTTCACTTTACATTACGCTGTAATGGTTTACTTTTTATAATTCCTGGGCCTTCTTAGGAACATACTCCTTCACGTTGTGCTTTCCACCCTCTCCCTGTGCCTTATTTTTCCTTCCTCAGTTTTTCTCTATCACCCTGTTGACAAACCCACATTTTCTACTCTCCAGATATACAGTATTAAGAAAGCCTTGTTTCCTCTGCCTAGAGCAGGAATGCCCACACTCCTCCCTGCCCTGCTGTCTGTGTTTGGTTAGGTCATGTTCCTGCATCAGGTCTCAGCTTAGCCATCACTTCCTCTGGGAAGTCCTGTGTGCCCCAACTATTGAGACCCCCTTCCAAATTATGCAGCAAACTCTATGTATCATGCCATTTCTTTGCTGCTTATTTGCTTATTGTAGCACAGGAAACTCAGTGAGATAGGCTGGCTGCTTGTCTTGTTGACAGTGATTATGTCCTGTACTTAGGACAGCACATGACATGGAGGACATGTACTTTGCACAAATCATTTCTTGAATGAGTTAAATGAACCAGCTCATGAACATATTCATTATTTCTCTGATCTGGAGTTAATATTGTGATAGATGTCCTAACAAAAGTATAAACATTTGAAAAACAACCACCACCTAAGGTTATTCTATAACTTTATATTTTTTTTTCCACTATAGCCTGGATTTCAGTTATTCTCTCTCCCTGGAAAACAATTTCTTTTCAGGATACATGATGATTCATGGTGTAAACATTATGATTTCTATTGCCATAGTGATGGTAGTTTTACATATGAGCTACCTTAAGCTTCTTGTTCAGAGAACACTGGACTGTGTACATATTGCTTAAAGTGAAAAGGTACACAGTCATCATATCACTCCTTGTCAGGCTTGCAGTTGATTGATGATGCAACTGTTGTAGATTTTTTTTTTTTCAGAGCTGTTTAAACATCCATTTCTTCAAATTGGATTAGTATGTCTTTCTTAAAATTTAAGTGGTTCTTTATATACTCAGAGAAGAATTAAGGTTGTTGATAAAAAATATTTTAAATCATTCAACAAAAACTCACCCCGATGCTGAATTTTTAGCTTGCCAGAAATCTGGAATACATTAGAAAGATTTGATATTTGTTTCATTAAGGTGAAAGACTACCTTGTAGAGCAACCACAGCTAGAAGAAATTAGATTTGTAGGTACTG